CAGGTATTTGGATAGTGAATCAGGGGATAAAAGCTCTCTTATTCTCTGCCACTCTCTTTCTCCATCTTTCTCCCTTTCAAATAAATAAATAAAAATTTAAAGAGAGCACAAGAGGCCTGAGTTGTGGCATGGCAAGTGAAGCCGTCCCTGGGACACTGTCATGTCATACTGGGGCACTGCTTTAAGTCCTGGCTGCTTTGTTTTTGACCCCGCTCCCTATTAATATGTCTGAGAAAGCAGTAGAAGATGGCCCAACTATACTTGGGACTCTGCCTTTCATGTGGGAGACCTGGCAGAAGCTCCTGGCTCCTGGCTTCGGCCTGGTCCTGCTCCTGCTGTTGCAGCCATTTGAGGAGTGACCCAGAGGATGGATGATTTCCTTCGGTGCTTTTCCAATAAATAAATCAATCTTTAAAATAAAATTAAAAAGAAAACAAAAGCACAATCTTCTGAGCAGACTGAGCACAATGAAAACACACTAATTATGCCATAATTAAGCCAAACTGTAGATACACTAATCTAACATTGTTTTTAAATTTGCACTAATAATTACACACTCATGACATGAAATATCTCACTGTACAATTCCAAGTAAAGAGGTATTTTTACTGGATCTACTATCTTCTCTTGAAGATGCTCTCCTCTTGCTGACTAACCTCATATTCTGAAGCAAAGCCAGCTGTTAGCAGGCAATCTGGAAAAAAATAAGCTTATTTTTGGAGGGAGATTTACTTAAATCTGCTAAATCTGATCTGTTTTCTGAATACAATTATGATTAAAATAAAACTTTCACATGGCAACTACTGCCTTAATATGACATTATAATATTAAAGATAACTTTAGCTACAAAGTGACTCTGAGGTTTTGAAAATGTATTCTGCTCCGGGCCAAGCTGTGGCGCAGTAGGCTAAACCTCCACCTATGGTGCTGGCAGCCCATATGGACGCTAGTTCTAGTCCTGGCTGCTCCACTTGGCCTGGGAAAGCAGTAGGAGATGACCCAGGTCCTTGGGCCCCTGCACCCATGTTGGAGACCTGGAAGAAACTATTTCCTGGCTCCAGATTGTCCCAGCTCTGGCCACTGCGGCCATGCGGGGAGTGAATCAGTGGACGGAAGACCTTTTCCTCTGTCTCTCCCTCTCACTGTCTGTAACTCTCTCAGATAAATAAATTAAAAAAAAAAAAAATAGTGTCCTGATCAAAAGACCATCAATGTAATATTTTCTGATCCTAGGCAAAATGCCTAATCAGGGAGGCTGAGTTGAAGAACGGAATGGTCTGTTTTTAAAATGTAAAAATAAAGCTAGAAGCATAAAGTAGTTGTATCTCTTAGTTTGAAAATAGTATTCCTTTCCTGTAAGATAATTTTTTATCTTTGGTATGATGCAAGAGAGTGAATACACTGTGAGTTTTGAGGGGCTCTTCAAATTCATATCAGAAAAGGTTGAGGACCTCGCATCTAAAATGCCCGGAATCAGAAGATTTGGAGGTTTTCCAGTTTGGGAACATCTGCCTAAGTTCTACTGGTTAAGTATTCCCAATTTGGAAATCCAAAAAGTAGGAAATACTCTGAAATCCACATTTTTTGAGCATTTCAGATTTTTGGATTAAGAATGCTCAATCTGTCATTTGGGAAGTGAACCAGTAGATGGAAGATATCTCTCTAACTTCGCCTTTCAAATGACATTTAAAAGAATCTTTTAAAATTTTTTTCTTAAGATACACAGAAAATGAAAAATTAACTACGTATAGGCTTTTTGGCAACAAAAAAAACTCAGCTTTTTTTTTTTTTAAGAGATATATTAATTTACATGAAGGTCGAGTTACAGAGAGAGACAGTGAGGCAGAGAGAGAGGTCTTCCATCTGCTGGTTCACTCCCAAGAGGGTTGCAATGCCTGGAGCCGCACCAATCTGAAGCCAGGAGCCAGTAGCCTCCCAGGGGCCTTCCACGCAGGTGCAGGGGCCCAAGGATTTGGGCAGCCCTCCATTGCTTTCCCAGGCCACAGCAGAGAGCCAGATCTGAAGTGGAGCAGCCAGGACTCAAACTGGCACCCACATGGAATGCTAACACTGCAGGCAGCAGCTCTACCTGCTAAGGCACAGTGCTAGCCCCAAAACCCAGCTTTTCATTTCATTTTTCCAAAAACTTTTTTGAAGTTCCCTGGATTGAAAAGATATACTTGGCCGGCGCCGTGGCTCAACAGACTAATCCTCTACCTAGCGGCGCCGGCACACCGGGTTCTAGTCCCAGTCAGGGCGCTGGATTCTGTCTCGGTTGCCCCTCTTCCAGGACAGCTCTCTGCTGTGGCCCGGGAAGGCAGTGGAGGATGGCCCAAGTGCTTGGGCCCTGCACCCCATGGGAGACCAGGTGAAGCACCTGGCTCCTGCCTTCGGATCAGCGCGGTGCGCCGGCCACAGTGCGCCAGCCATGGTGGCCACTGGAGGGTGAACCAATGGCAAAAGGAAGACCTTTGTCTCTGTCTCTCTCTCACTGTCCACTCTGCCTATCAAAAAAAAAAAAAAAAAAAAGATATACTTTATCTGCTAAGGCATCTGAAAATCAAGATCATGAAAGTGAAGAGGTCTGATACAATCTGTCTACACTCAAGCAAGGTTATCACTTTGAAGTCATTTTCTCTAGCCTCAGGTGAGAAAAAGGATGGAATGGAGTGAAGAAGCTAGAACTGACTTTAGCTTGGAACTTGATTTTTCGAAGCCTTTCCACTTATGAGTCAAATCTTAGATGAAGTATGCAAAATCAAAAAGTTGACATTCTTGCCACTTTTTGGGGACCCCAAAAACATGTAAGATTGGATTCCATCTGTGATTACATATGGTAAAGATGCAAGTAATTTTTATCATATAAGAAGCGGAGGAGAAAATCCACAGAAACTTAGTGTTATGACCTAGCTGACATGGATTTACTCTTTTTCATCACAAGTAGGTTAAGTTTTCAAGGGTTTCTTTGAAGCTTTAAAACGATTACTACACAATAGATGGTAATTTCTTAGCTAATTTTCCTATTTTGATTATCTGCACTAGGACAGAAAAATAATCAGTTTCATTATGTTACATTATTTAGATTTTTTTGCTATTCTCTCAAACTTGGCTTAAAAGGTTTCGTAGGTATACGGGGGGAAGGGAGTGAGTAAACAATGTGAAAGTGAAATCAAAGAAAATGATGTTAAATTTTTTATGTAAAAATGGAAAAAATAATGTCAATTTGATGTATTCATCATCTAGCTTCTAAATAATTATTTATGTCTTCTTTCTAAACCTCAAAAAGTATAGCTATAGTCTACCAGGAAAAAACAAGATAATGAGAAGCTACATTATCTAACAGTTTTTAAAGAAATCTCCAACAGGTTAAATCAGTTTACATATAACATATAAAATAAGTAAACCAGCATTACAACAAACTACTAAATTTCCTAGAAAGAAAAGGCCTAAATCCTGAAACCCTAGTATCATTTTGTTTTTACTAAAATTGTCAATCATGCAAAAGTATTACATGCATTTTAAGTGATGTTAGAATTAAACACAGCCCCAGCCCAGCACTAAATGTTGTTAAATATAATAAGCAGTTCACTATACAGTGTGCTTAAAAATAATTTGTCCTTTTATTCACATGCAATAACACACCTAGCATAAAAGAAAATTATGTTAACAGGTCAAATCTCCAAAACTCCATTTAACTCCTATATTAAAAGAAACCACTCAAAAATGCTTTACTGAGAGAAACACAAACCCTTTTAGATTACACCCACCATTTTTAAAAACTAATATACTGGGGACTGCATTGTGGTGTATCGGGTTAAGCCACCACCTGCAGTCTCTCATGTGGGCGCCAGTTCAAGTCCTGACTGTACTTTGGATCCTGCTCCCTAGTAATGCACCTGGGGAAGCAGCAGAAGATGGCCTAAGTGCTTTGACCCCAGCACTAATGTGGTAGACCTGGAAGAAACTCCTGCTTCCTGGCTTCAGTCTGGCCCAGCCCTACCCACTGTGGCCATATGGGGAGTGAACCAGCAGATCAAAGATCTTTGTCTCTTTGTCTCTCCCTCTGCCTCTCTGTAACTCTACCTTTCAAATAAATAAAAATAAATAATCTTAAAAAAAGAAAAGCTAAAAGATTTATCACCAAAGGAATATGAAAGAATAAATAGACAGGTTTTGCCTCGGTCACAAAGTACAGTCACACTAGCAGGAGTTAACAGCCACTTCAAAATAGTTCCTGAAAAACAAGTTTCAAGTCTCCATTTCATACTCACAGGTCTGAGGGATGTTTTCCATGTGGGTGTTGTGAAGTTTGATTCACAAAATAGAAATTAATTACTTCTTTGGGTGAAGTGCTACAGCTGTATTTATACTTTTATAGTATACTGGTCAAGATATAACATAGTGAAAAACTTACTCAGGCACCAAAAGACAGCCAGCTATTGATCAAACAAACCCTACTACCGTCACTAGCCTCCTCCCTGGCCCTCTTCCCCCAGAGTAACCAAGAAAAAAATACTACCCAGGATAATTTTGGTATATATATATTTTTTTGGTGCTGCTTTGTTTGTTGTTGGATTAATACTAGAAAGAAGAAACTGTGCAAAAGACTCTCCTATTCAGTATACTTAAGGATTCCCAAACTAAGAAATATAATCAGGACATTAACTATAATTTTATTAAATCTATCAAAAATAGAGAAATTCATACAAATTTCTATTTACTTTTTATTCCAAGATCATATTCTTTATATTTTGGTAAACTTCTTAAAGCTTAAAAAAGCCCTCAAAATTATTTAATTCACTCTTGCCTACATATTTAAATTGATTTTTACTTGATCAATAGCATCAGAAGTCATATTCAAATACGTTTCAAATACAAAAGACAGTTTAGTTAGTTGCCCCCTTTATGAAACAAAAAATAAAATTAGACAAAAACACAAAATTGAAGATTTTTCTCATTATCAGTATACAGAAATTATAAGAGTCAGAATCTGCACTTACTCTTCACCCCTTTCTTCCCCTTTCGTTCCTTCTTGTACTGTTCCTTCAGTTTACTTATTAGTCCCTGGTCTACATCCCAAACCTCAGCAGTTGGGGAGAGGTCATCTTTATCTACATGCAGCATATTATTAAAAGAAAAATAATCAGCAATTGGCAATGCAAGCTGTTGGCAGTAAACTTAATAGCTTTACATAATCACAATAAAAATATTCTAACAGCATATATAAAAATACTTTAAAGGTGCAGTCTCAGTTTTGGTATTCACAACTCAAATTCTAAATGCCCATGTTAAAAGTTTCTAAACATTTAACACAATGACAGTTAAATGGTGCTCCATTTTGATGAATCACAAATTTCAAGGTTATTAGTCTTTCAATGGACCAACATTAGAAATCTAATATAAAAATAAATAACTGCATCTTTATAAAAATGTTAATAAAAGATTATTCAGCCAGCATCATAAAAGCAAATGAATGAATTACATGCGAGCTACTCATATAAGTGCAAGCTGGAAATGTCAGTGCTGTTTCATTGATGAAAATATGCATGCACCTTCTGTCACATTTTGCATGCACAGATAACTGTACTAAGGGAGAGGCATTCTAGTCCAATATAACACATACATATAGTTCAAAAGTACATCTCACACAAGGCATTCAGAGAATCCCACTTCTGCCCCAACAATATTTCAACATCTCATTACCTTCTTCCATTGGTCTATAACTAAGATTAGCAAAAACAAACAAACAAAAACAAAACTCAAATTCCACTTGAGAATTTTTTGAGGTTTTTTTTTTGGGTCGGGGGGAGGAGTAAAATACAGCAGCATCAAGCACAGAGAAGTGAAAATATACACTGCCAGACATGTGCTGCAAATGACACTTCAGCAGTTTTAGTTGAATAGTAACTCTATATTTTATCAAGTGCCTAGAAAAAAGTTCATCCTTAGTAAACTATGGGGGAAAAACAGCATTAAATAGAGGTAGTATAAAAATAATTAAGCCATTTAAAATTATTCTAACTACTGAGGGTTCTTCCTTCCTTCATTTAGTTTTAAAACAGCCGCATTGTTGGAGGTTTAATGCTGGTACAGATGTAAAACTTGAAGTTTAAATAACTTATTAAATAAAAATCACACCAAAACATATAGCCCATGTCAATCAGTTAAAACTGAAAAAATGGTGAGTTATTAATAGAAACACACTTGTTCAACTTTGGATAACTCAGTATATTCTGGTTCATAAGTACTATAAATTTCCTGATTTAAACTATAAAATAAACATTTTAAAGGGACCTTTCATCCTTATACAATTGCTATATGTAATAAAAACATCCTATTTAAACGGCACAAAGAAATTCAATATTCACTGTAATGTATCTCGAGTCTTTCCTACTGCAATTGTCATCACTTTTTTCCTGATGGGTATGCCTATGATCACAGGTGGTCAATATGTGAACATTTATACCCAAAGTTTTAAGTTAAATGGCTAACTCAAATTACTGAAAGTAGGCTACCCAAGACTAAAATTTTCATGTAAGATTATCTGTTAAAGCTTCAAAATTATAATTAATGTTTCTAATAGAGTTGAAACACTGATTTAAAGAGAAAATTCACTTTTCATGTACTATAATCATGAAATATCCTAAAAATGGTTCTCTATCAGGAATTCTGTGAATTTATTGAACATACCAAGAAAAATGTGATCCAAAAAATTAATAATTTGCATTCATCTTAATGAAATTAACAAGTCTTATTTCCAAATACTCAAAAAAAACAAACACATTTTGAGTAAATACTATTTAAACTTTACAGACAGACACCCCCCCTAATCAAAAAAAAAAAAATCTTAGGTAATAAAAACTATACACAGGAAATTAGAGAAAATTTGATGATAACCAAACAGTTTTTAAAAGGCCTTTGAAGAGAGAATAATGCTGTGAATAGTAACAACTAAAGCAGCAAAAGAGAGTGGAGTGAAAAGGTAAAGGGGATGAAGAAAGGATAAGCACAAGGAAAAAAAACACAGTCATTACTTGCAAGATAACCTCAAATCTAGAAAACAAAGGTAAACTTAGGCAGTGCATAGAATAGGTTGGTGAATGCATTATGTGCAAAAACAACATCCTGAAACTTGCCTGGTAAGTAACAGTTGATTTGATATTGCTTATAAGAAATAGATAAGAGCAAAAAGGAAGAGGCAGCATAATCTTCTACATATTATCCTGTTTTTAAAAAATCTAGGGGGAAAAATACCAAGAAATGAGGTTGAATCAATTAAGGGAACTTTTTTGTCTAAAAGAAAGCAAACATGCACAAAAATGTTGACCCCTAACAACTCAAAACCACAAAACTATAGAATCTATTAAGGTGATTTTGACTGCCAAAGCAGAAGAATTATACAAACCTGTGAACTACAGCATCAGTCTGTAACTAACTTTAAGTAAATATTCAACACTATCCTCTATTTTAAATATAAACATTTCAGTTACCAATGGTATCTTATACTCCCATAAATTTCCAAAGATGAACTCCAAAGGGTAGGTGAAAAAAAGTGAACATCTTAAAAAGGTCAAGTCTCCATGAGAAAATCATGAGAATCAGAAATACCAATATTATATAAACACTAAAAGTTACTAAAATTAAACTCAAACTACCTAATGTGGAGAACAGAGAAAAAAGGATTAAAAAAATTCTCTAAAAAGCAGTGTTTCCATAAGATAAAAAGACTTAAAATCAGAAATAACTTAGCAGATTACTAGTTTAGGGAAAAAAAAATAAAAGATTATCTAATGTGAGAAAAGTACTGGAGGTGTATGTTTCACGAAGACCAGACTTCATTTTTTTGTTTTAAATTCTGTTCTTTACTCAGCAATCTGAAAACTACCATATTTCCATTCATAAATATATTCAAATTTTCAGTAAATACATAAATATAAAGCAGTGTTTTAGATGTACCCTTTTTGTTTTGGGAAAAAAAATGGTATGACACATAAGAGTAGAAATGATGAGCTTTAGGAAATGCATAGATATACTGACAGTTTTCATTTCTTACAGTAAGAAACTACTTCAACAATTTTGTACTTAAAAATGTTCTTTTCTTTCTCAATAAATTAAAGTGCTTTAAAGCTAATGTTTTGTTTCATTCTCCTATGGAAACAACAAGCTTTTGTCAGTTACTTCCATTTACTAGTCACTCTCAACTACTGACAATAATTAAATGAAGTATTGACAGTTGTCTTTCACTAATTAAGTCTTACTTTAAAACAGTTAAAAGTCTATCCATTGTACATAATGTGGTACATTTTTATTAGAAAAATAATGCCATTTCTTACTAACTAAATTCCTGGAATTTTTTATCCTTTGACTAAAATTTCTAGCAAGCTGAAGCTGAGAAAATAAGCATGTGTCAATATGCAATAAATTTTGATCATTTTTCAAATGAAATAATCTCAATGTGCATGAACAGAACTTGGTTAAATTAAATCATAGCATAACTTGACAGAATGTTATTTAATTATTAAAAATTAGGCTGTAGGGGCCAGCACTGTGGTACCAGGGGTTAAGCAAGGGCCTACAAGCATCCCATATGGGCACCAATTAGCATTCTGGCTGCTCCACTTCTGATCCTAATGCACCTGGGAAAAGCAGCAGAGGATGGCCCAAGTGCTTGGGCCCCTGTACCCACGTGGGAGACCCAGAAGAAGCTCCTGGCTTTGGCCTGGCCCAGCAGTGGCCATTGTGGCCATTTGGAGAGTGAACCAGTGGATGGAAGACCTCTCTCTCTGTCTCTCCTTTGCTCTCTATAACTTTGCCTTTGAAATACATAAATTAATTTAAAAAAAGATGTTATAGAGGTGGACAATTAGTTTAGCAGAGAAGACAGAAGTCAATATGCCCATGTCTCACATTAGAGTGCCTGAGTTCATCTCCCAGCACTGACTCCTGACTATAGCTTCCCGCTAACAGAGACCCTGGGAAACAGCAATGGTTCAAGTAGTTGAGTTGCTGCCACCCAAGTGGGAGACCTGGACTGAGTTCTCAGCTCCCAGTTCTGCACCTTCCCTCTAACCCTGCTGCTCTGAGAACTGAACCAGTGAACCAGTGACAGGAGCTTTCTCTGCCTATCAAATGAATAAATGTTATTTTTTTAATGTTATATAAGAACTATATATTATTAAGTTAGCCACCATATATTAAGTGAAAAGTATGGATTATACAAGTCAAAATATAATAAAATCCTTTATTAGTTAAATATCCATATACTTATATATAAATGTTAGTCACAGTTTTCTCTATATAGAAGCATTACAGGTGATTTTTAATTTTATGCTTCATATGGGTTTCCTGTCACCATAAAGTAGTTTTCAAAAAATCTAGTGATAACTCATCTTGTTGAAATAAATTAAACTTTTGATGTATTAAAAAGTTCTGTAGGTGCCAGCCCTGTGGCACAGCGGGTTGAAGCTCTGGCCTGAAGCACCTGCATCCCATACAGGCGCAAGTTCTAGTCCTGGCTGCTCCTCTTCCGATCTGCTATGGCTTGGGAAAGCAGTGAAAGATGGCCCAAGTCTTGGGCCCTGCATCCACCTGGGAACCCAGAAGAAGCTCCTGGCTCCTGACTTTGGATCGGCTCTGCTGCGGCCGTTGCAGCCATTTGGGGAGTGATCCATTGAATGGAAGACCTCTCTCTCTGTCTCTACCTCACTCTGTAACTCTGTCTTTCAAATAAATATTAAAAAAAAAAGTTCTGTAAACACACTTTGAGTTCTACACACTTGTTAACATGTTAATATTAATCAATGATTGAATGAACATACTGAATTGGAAAAACATACTGGACATCAGCTATTACCTGAGAACATTTCTTATACTTTACTTTATACTGGGGTTTTTAGCCCTGTACAGAAAGAATTGTTTTCTCTTTTAGTAACAGCTGGATTACTATTCGTGTCATGTAAATTTTCAAAGTTTAGACCTAACATTTGCACACTGAATACTGTATGCAATAAAATTTAATATCTTCATTAAATTTTGTTCAATACAAAGCTATTCAGGATTAGTAGCTTTATTTTCAACGAGTAATAAAGTAACATAAGACGGGCAAGCTGAGCCTTAAGTCTTCTTAATATCTAGATTACCAAATTAAATAATGGGAAGGTTTGAAACTGAATACATACATACTTAAAAAAAAAAAAAAACTTAAAGGTAAAGGAATTGGTTTGCTAAACCAACCAAGTATTCCAATTAAATCAAGATGAACTTCAAAAAGAAAACCAACAAAAAGCCATATATAAATGTTTAGCTACCAAATATAAATAAACTGGTGAAAAATACCCTTATTCAATCACCTCCCTTTGCCACCATACATTCAGATACACACATTCCACATAAAATATTTAATAACCTGTTGTTCAGGACTCTATTTATTCCCACCCCCATATTTCTGTATCACCTTACCCCATTCTGTGCCATCCCCTGAACTCCGTGCTTCTCCAGCTCCCTCTCCATCTTCAGCAGTGACTAAAAAATCAAATTCTTTCAGTGCTTCCTCAGTATCAGGATCATCAGTTAAGTCAGCAGCTAAACCTTCATTACCTATCTGTAAAGGAAACACAAACCAATAATTATTTTTACCTTAAATTTTAAAGGGGACTCAATATTTTCACATAATTCCACTTTCACATTCATTTTTAAATTATCTGGATCCAAAATATTAGTTTTTTTAAGTAATTCATAAATCCTAATTATGTTTCGGGTAAATGAACAATACTATCCATGCCAAGATCCTTTGTAAACTGTGCTACAAGTAATGTGGTACTAAAAATAGTTGAAGTGCTAACCACAAAGAACAGTTAACTTCTTTAATTATAGAAGATTCAGCTATTCCCTATTAAAGAACCATGTATTATTCAAATACATGTGAGTACACAGCTAATAAGAACATAAAATCAACTTCGTACTTTGTGTTTATTCATCCGATGTTTGTCTTTTCCTTCTGGGATGCCTTCAATCATGTCATTTTCCTCTTCCTCATCACTGTCATCAGCATTTTCTAAGAAATTGAATGTCTCAAGAACATCACCAGAAGACCTGGAGGAAAGGAAAAAAATGAATCAAACTATTCCACTTGTTGATTCTAATATTTCTTTCTGGTTCCTATATTTAAATTGAAGTACATGAAGGTAGTCAAAGGAATTTTAATGACAACCTACTTTAATAATGTATTATAAAAAAAATTAGGGGCCAGAGCTGTGGCATAGCAGGTTAATGCTCTGGTCTACAATGCCAGCATTTAATGTGGGCATCAGTCAAGTCATGGCTGTTTCCACTTCCGATCCAGCTCTCTGCTATGGCCTGGGAAAGGAGGAGAAGATGGCCCAAGTGCTTGGGCCCCTGCATCAGCAAGGGAGACCTGGGAGAAGCTCCAGGCTCCTGGCTTTGGATCAGCCTAGCTCCAGCATTGCAGCCATTTGGGGAGTGAACCAGCAGATGGAAGACCCATCTTTCTCTTTCTCTCTCTCTCTCTCTCACTGCCTCTCTGTGACTCTGCCTTTCAAATAAATGAATTAAACAAAAAATTAAAAGAATGTTTGAAGGGTTTTCATGTTTTATAATTAACATCGGAATGACTGTCTCTGTTAAGTGAATTCTCCAAAGTGTACAATCAAAAATATTTTCCATAATTATTGCAATAAAATAAAATCTTAAAGCGTTAGACACTAGAACATGCTATTATTTCTCAAAGCCATTATAAACAATCAACTTCCAACTTGGCATTTAACTACAGCCTCTTATAATTTGGCCCAAACGTTTGAGGACTAAGATAATAATATCAGATTATTGCTATCTAGATTTAGAGTAAATTAGATAAACAACATCTTAATCCATTTGAGATTTTTCCTAACTAAGGAAAAAAAATCTTTAATCTATTAAAGAAATATATTCAAAACAACTCTTTTAATAGGTAATAGTGATAACCTATTTTATCTACTTCTAAATCTTTTTTTTTTTTTTTGAAAGATTTTACTTATCTTATTTAAAAGAGCTACAGAGAGAGGAAGAGACAAAGAGAGAGATCAATCTTCCACCTGCTGGTTTACTCCCCAGATGGCCACAACAGACTGAGGCTAGGCTGAAGCTGGGAACCAGGAACTCCATTCCTGGTCTCCTATGTGGGTGCAGGGACCCAAGGATTTGGGTCATGTTCTGCTGCTTTCTCAGCCACATTAACAGGGAGCTAGACCAGAATGAAGCACCTGAGACTTGAACTGGCATGCATATTGTTACTAACATCACAGGCATAACCCACTATACAATAATGCTAGCCCCCCTAAATCATTTTTTAAGCTAACATGAGTTCCTCTATGCCCCTAAAACATTTTCAATATACATGTTTAACAATAAAAGGCAGCCATACTGCAGTATAAAATTAAGTCAAAGACTCTCAGAATGAAAAGCCTCTATTCGGGGCGGCGCTGTGGTACAGCAGGTTAACACCCTGGCCTGAGGCGCCAGCATCCCATATAGGTGCTGGTTCTGGACCTGGCTGCTCCTCTTCTGATCCAGATCTCTGCTGTGGCCTAGGAAGGCAGTGGAAGATAGCCAAGTGCTTGGGCCCCTGCACTTGCATGGGAGACTCCTGGCTCCTGTCTTCGGATCAGCGCAGCTCCGGCCATTGCAGCCAATTGGGGAGTGGGCCATTGGACGGAAGACCTCTCTCTCTCTCTTCTGTGTAACTCTTACAAATAAATAAATGAATGAATAAATAAATAAATAAATCCTCTGCTCTGCCACTAACTGGTTACTAAACCTTCTGTCATCAACTTCTTCACCTGTAAACAGCAGATGATGAGATGATCTCAAATGTGCCTACTAACACTCAGAGTGTATTGTAATCAAAAGAAAAATGATGCAAAATTTAGAGATTCCCCCATCCCATCCCTGGTTCTACTAGTACAAATTAAGGACATAAAATAAACCAGACTATAATAACATTTTAACACAACATGATTTTAATGGGTCTATTACACTGTGTAAAGGAAGAATACAGAAACTCAATGCAGAAAAGACATGGTTTGTACAAATGCAAATTAGTAAAAGCAAACATAAGCCTACCACAATAACAAGCTTGAAATTTGTTAACATATCTTAATATCTGGCACATTAATGATAGAACTATTAGAACTAGTACTTTTATTTTTAATGATATTTTTGTTTCAAACTTTGAAAACTGAGTATTGTTACCACTTGGAGAGATATTTCTGTCTCTAAAGTGAGAGCTCATGTTTCCAGGTTTTAAAAATTGCATTTAGAGGCCAGCATTGCAGTGTAGCAGGTAAAGCCACCACCTGTGCTGCCGGCATCCCATAGGGGCACCAGTTCGTGTCCCAGCTTCTCCACTTCTGATGCAGTTTTCTGCTAATGGCCTGGGAAAAGCAGTAGATGGCCCAAGTGTCTCCAAAAGGAGACCCCAATAAAGCTCCTAGCTTTGGCTTTGTGGCCATCTAGGGAGTGAACCAGTGAATGGAAGATCTCTCTCTCCATCTCTTCCATCTCTCTCTGTAGCTGTGACTTTTAAATAAATAAATACATCTTTGTTAAAAATTGCATTTAGGGGCTGGCAGTGTGGCAGAGCAGGTAAAAACCTCTACCTGCAATGTCAGCATCCCACATGGGTGCAAGTTCGTGCCCAGCTGCTCCACTTCCCTGCTAATGGCCTGGGAAGAGCATTGAAAAATGGACCAAATGCTTGGGTATCTGCTACCCACATGGGAGACCTTTTTAAAAAAATTGCATTTAATAGCAGTAATACACATGCATAGATTTAGAAGTCAAATAATAAAGCACAAACCATACAAGAACAGATTTCACAAAAATTATGAAGGAAGACACTGTTAAGAGAATGTAAAGATTGGAGAAAGCATTGAGCCAAGTGGTTAAGATGCTGCTCAGGACATTTGTATCCTCTGGGAAAACCTGGGTTTCAGTCCTGACACTGTTTTTGATTTCCTGCTAATAAGCACCCTGGAAGGCAGCAGGTGATGGCGCAACTACTTGTGTCCCTGCCACCATATGGGAGACCCAGAATGCATTCCAGGATCCTGACTGTGACCTGGACCAGCCTTAGCTGTTGCAGGCACTTAGGGAGTGAGTCAGGGATTTTTCCTTCCTGTCTCTGTATCTCTCAAATTTAATTTTTAAGATTTATTTACTTGGGGGCCGGCGCTGTGGCACATCAAGTTAAAAGTTCTGGCCTGAAGTGCCGGCATCCCACATGGGCGCCGGTTCTAGTCCCAGCTGCTCCTGTTCCGATCCAGCTCTCTGCTATGGCCTGGGAAAGCAGCAGAAGATGCCCCAAGTGCTTGGGCCCCTGCACCCACGTGGGAGACCTGGAAGAAGCTCCTGGCTCCTGGCTTCAGATCGGCACAGCTCCAACTGTTGCAGCCATCTGGGGAGTGAACCAGCGGATGGAAGACCTCTCTCTGTCTCTACCTCTCTCTGTAACTCTGTCTTTAAAATAAATAAAAAATTTTTAAAAAGATTTATTTACTTGAATGACCAATAAAAAGAGACAGAAAGAAAGAGATCTTCCATCCACTGGTTCATTCCCAAATGGCTGAAATGGCCGGAGCTGGGCCAGCCCAAAGCCTAGAACACTATCCACGTCATCCATGAGTGTGGCAGGAGCCCAAATACTTGGGCCATCTTGCACTGCTTTCCCAGGCACATTAAGTTTAGTGTCCATAATCATGGCATCTCTACAAATATTTTCTCATTAATTTTATAGAGTACTTTGGGAAAATCCTTCAACCTGGAAACATCCTTGGAAATATATTCTGGAAATTTTTCTTGTATTATTATTTCTAAAATATTTTAATATTATTTTATCTTTCTTTTGAAATTCCTATGCAGATGTTAATCCTCCTGGATTGCTACCTGAATTTTCTATCTTTTCAGTCTTATTTTCAGGGAGTCTATTTAATGTCATCTCAGATTTTACAGAAATTATTTTTAAAAAACATTTCATTTATTTACTTGAAAGGCAGAATTACAGAAAAAGGGATAGACAGACAGAAAAAATCTTCCATCTGCTGGTTCTCTACTCAAATGGCCCCAATGGCAGGGATTGGGCCAGACTGAAGCCAGGAACCTGGAGCTCCATGTGGGTCTCCCAGGTGGGTGCAGAGGCCCAAGTACTTGGGACATCTTCTGTTGTTTCACAGGCACATTAGCACAGAGCTGGACTGGAAGTGGAACAGCCAGAACTCAAACCAGTGCCCACACAGGGTGCCAGCACTGCAGGTGGTAGTTTAACCCGCTATGCCATGATGCCAGCCCCTTCTATCATTTATTTTTAAAATATTATTTATTTTCGGGGCCAGCGCCATGGCGCAGTGGGTTAATGCTCTGGCGTGAAGAGCTAGCATCCCATATGGGTACCAGTTCTAGTCCCAGCTGCTCTTCTTCCAATCCAGCTCTCTGCTATGGCCTGGGCTATGGCCTGGGCAAGCAGCACAAGATGGTCCAAGTCCTTGGGCCCCTGCACCCATGTGGGAGACCCGGAAGAAGCTCCTGGCTCCTGGCTTTGGATCAGCGTAGCTCTGGCCATTGCGGCCATCTGGGGAGTAAAGCATCAGATGGAAGACCTCTCTCTCTCTGCCTCTCTTCTCTGTGTAACTGACTTTCAAATAAAATAAATAAATCTTTAAAAAAATTTATTTATTTTCACTTTTATTTGAGAGGCAAAGAGACAGAAACAGAGATTTTCCATTACTGGTTCACTTCCCATATGCCTTACCACAGCCAGAGCTGGGTCAGGCTGAAGCCAGGAGCCCAGAGCTCCATCCAGGTCTTCTGTGTGGGTGGCAAGGACTCAAGTACTTGTACCATCATCTGCTGTCTGCCAGGATGTGCAGTTAGCAGGGAGCCAGAATTGTAAGCAGAGTTGAGACTCAAATCAAGTTCTCCAATACGGGATGCAAACACCCCAAGCAATGTCGTAATTGCTGCATCAAAGGCCTACCCTGTATTTTCCTACTTCTATGAGCTTTTTTAAAAAAGTTGTGCTTACTGGGGCCAGCACTGTGGCGCAGCAGGTTAAAGCTCTGACCTGAAGTGCCAGCATCCCATATGGGCGCTGGTCTGAGTCCTGGCTGCTCTTCTTCCGATCCAGCTCTCTGCTATGGCCTGGGAAAGCAGCAGAAGATGGCCCAAGTCCTTGGGCCCCTGCGCCCACATGGGAGACCCAGAAGAAGCTCCTGGCTCCCGGCTTTGGATCGGCCCAGCTCCAACCATTGCGGCCATCTAGGGTGTGAACCAGCGGATGGAAGACCTCTCTCTCTGTCTCTACTTCTCTCTGTAACTCTTTCAAATAAATAAAATAAATCTTTAAAAAATTCATTAAAAAGTAAATAAATAAAAAGTTTTATTTACTTATATGAAAGAATGACAGAAACAGGGAGTCTGAGAGGGAGAGAGAAACAGAAAGGTCTGCTATCTATTGGTTCATTGCCCAAATGCCTGGAACAGCTAGGGCTGGGCTAGGATAACGACAGGAGCCAGGAACTCCATCTGGGTATCCCATGTGGATGGAAGGAACCCAAGTACTTGGGCCATAATTTGCTGCCTCCCAGGTGCGATTGGAGGAAGCTGGATCAGAAGCAGAGGCAGGATTCCAACCAGTGCTTTCCCAAGTGAAATGGAGGCACCCCAAGCAGAGGCTTAACCTGCTTTAACAGAATGCCTGCTTCTATCTTTTTTTTTTTTTTTTAAGATTTATTTATTTGAGAGGCAGTTACAGAGGGAGAGAGACAGACAAAAGACAGACACAGAGAGATGTTCCATCCGTTGGTCCATTCTCCAAACGATTTCAAGAGCCAGAGCTGAGCCAGGAGCCAGAGCTCCTGCTGGCTCTCCCATGTGGATGACAGGGGCCCAAGCAAGAGGCTATCCTCTGATGCCCTCCCAGTCTCATTAACAGGAAAGCAGATGGAAAGCAGCACAGCTGGAACTCAAACAAGTGCTCCAATATGGGAGACCGGGCATTGCAGGCAGTGGCTTAACCAGCTACATCACAAAGACGACCCCCTTAAGCACTTTTTGAAAAAATTCAAGCAAAGAGAAAGTGAATAAGCCCTAATCACTGGTTCATCTTCAAATGCCTTCAGTAACTGTAGTCAAAGCTAGCAATACAATCAGGTCTCCCACATTGGTGGCAGTGAATTAGACTCCTGCTTCCCAAGGTCTACAATAGCAGAAAATGGAGTTAAGTGTTGGAGCTGGGAACTGAACCAAGTTATTCCAATGTGGGACATGGATATCTTGACTGGTAGGCTAAATGTCCATCTCGTATCAATTCTTTTTGGATATCTGATTTGTGCGTACAAAATAGCATCCATTTTTTTTTTATTTTCTTTTTTCAGTCCTCTCAGGAGAACAATTATAGTTTGAAAGTCTTTTACTTCCTGCTTTGAGTTTCTTTTCTCATTTAGTTTCCCTGGTCTCTAACTTTCTCACTCAAGTTTTTCCTTAAGTGCTCACATTTAAGAACAAGGCACTAAAAAGCTAAATGGATGTACCATGAATATAGGCACTATATTCTAAGTGTTGTATATCCTTTCCTTCAAATTCATGTTGAAAACTAATTCCTAAAGAGGACTAGGTCCTTTGTTAGGTGACCAAGTCATATGAAGGCAGAATCCTCTTGAACAGGTTAGTGCCTTTCTTAAGAGGCCCAAAGGTGCTTGTTTGTCCCTTCTGCCATGTAAAGACATACCAAGAAGCTGGCATTCTACAACCCAAAAAAAGCCCACATCAGAATTGAGCCATGCTAACACCCTGAAATTAGACTTTCCAGAAGCCTCCAGAACTGTGAGAAATAAATGCCTGTTGTTTATGAGGTACCCAGTCTACGGTATTTTGTTACAGCAACCAAAAGAAAAAAAAAAAAAAAAAAAAACAAGAAAAAAAAAACCAAGAAAATAGATGAGTCTTAATTAAGTAGCTGGCTTTACTTGCAGATAACAGGTAGAGGCCCAGTAATTTATTACGATATCTCAGTTGTCAATTTCATTAGGTCTTTCCTACCAATGTCATCAATTTCAATATCCTACCTGAATAAGATATAAGACCACTGGCCAATATACAAGAAGCCAAAAAGTGAAGCAAACAAGTGATCTCTATACTCAGGTGTAAACTTTCACATGACCTTGTTTTCACTACAATAACTCATTCTTCAGCTGTTTTATTTCTCAGGAAATCAGAAATCGCTGTTTCAACTTTACAGAAACATACTACCATTTTCTAGAGTAGGGATCTGGTGCACAGGATACAAGAAGGAACTGAGATACTACTTCTTTAATTCAATTTTTCATTCAAGTCCCATCTAATTGTACTCAATACCTATAATTTCTTAGCTTTTGTGGCTTTGCTAGAATCTATGGACTAGAATTGCCTTGATCCTTTTCTTCATCCCCAAATACTTACATTTAAGCTTTCTTGGAGCCACTAAATCAGTTTTCCATGACCTATCTCATGAACAACATATTCTTTTTTTCTTTTTACATATTCATTTTTTGTTCTATGTTTAAAGAATCTTAAACCCTTTGCTATTATTTTAGCAGAATTTCTGGAAGGCACACAAATAAAATGTGTCTTTAATCCACAATATTTAAGTGGAGGCCAACATCTATAACAATTTTTTCCTTTGCCAGCTATTTACTAACATCACTTAGGAGAACTGCAACCCCATATTAGAGTGCCTGAGTTTTAGTCCTGACTCTGCTTCCAATTTCTGTCCTGTACTGAGCAACTGGGAGACAGCAGGCAATGGTTCAGTATCTCTGCCACCCACGTGAGAGATCAGTTTCGTGCTTCTGGCTTTAGTCTGGCCCAGAACTAAATGTTACAGCAGTGTCTTTGCCTTTCAAATAAATAAAGTAATACTTCATGAACTTAGAAATTGTAATTTTTATAAAGGTATATTTGGTAGATAATAACAACTATTGATGAAGACATGGAGAAACTGGAACCTTGTTAGCACTGCTGGTGGAACAAGAAATAATACAGCCAGCTTGGTAAGGTATTTGGCAGTTTCTTTAACTTGTTTAACACTCCCAAACATGGACCAATCCACATGCTCATTAACTGAAAACGAAACACAGAAAGGCTGATGCCGTGGCGTAGCAGGTAAAGCTGCCGCCTGCAGTGCTGGCTTCCTACATGGCTGCCAGTGGGAGTCCTGGCTGCTCCACTTCCAATCCAGCTCTCTGCTATGGCCTGGGAAAGCAGTGGAAGATGGCCCAAGTCCTTGGGCCCCTGCACCCATGTGGGAGACCTGGAAGAAGCTCCTGGCTCCTGTCTTCAGATCAGCCCAGCTTCGGCCACTGCGGCCATTTGGGGAATGAACCAGTGGATGGAAGGTCCCTCTCTCTCTGTCTGCCTCTACCTCTCTGTAACTCTACCTTTCAAATAAATAAACAAATCTTAAAAGAAGCATAAATAAAATGTACTACATCATCATCCATAAAGTGGACGATTATTTGGCAGTAAAAAGCAGTGAAGCAAACACTATAACATGGATAAACCTTGAAAATATGCGAACTGAAACAAACCACTCACAAATACGCCACTTATATGAAATATCCAGAACACATAAATTTGAAGAGACAGAAAAGTAGACTAGTGATTGTCCAGGGCTTGAAGGCAAGGGTGTAGGGGAGAATGGGGTTCCTTTTTTCGGGTTATTAAAATGCAGTAAATTCAGTGTAGTGGAGGCTAAACAACTGTGAATATTCTGAAAACCACTAGATCATATTCTTTAAATGCGTGAACTTTATGATTTATATCTCAATAAAAATCATCTTGTTAGAAAAGCATCTGGTTGACTTCTCAGTCTAACAATCTACTGTCCAAAAACATAAAGTTGTTTCTTTCACAATGTTTTCTCTTTTAAATTTACTTCATTATTTGAAAGGCAGAGAGACAGAATCTTACATCTGCTGGTTCACTCCTCCAAATGGCCCAAACAGCCAAGTCCAGGCCAAGCTGAACCCAGAAGGCTAAGAAATCCCTACTGGTCTCCCACATGGGTGGCAGAGGCTTAAGTATTTGGACCATCTTCTGTTGCATTCCCAGGCATATTAGCAAGAAACTGGATTGAAAGCAGAGCAGCTGGGACCCAAACTGGCACTCTGACATGGGATGTGGGTGTCCTAAGCTGTAACTGCCTGCTTTACCACAATAAGGGCGCTCCCCCCACCCCCACCGAGGTTTCTAAATAGCTGTTGCTCATTCTATCAATGGAGTAGTGTAATTTATTTAAAGTACTCTAGCAGAAATTTTAAAATCAGGATGTTCAAACAGCTCTGAATTACATAAAATCAGTCTTAAATTTCCATTTCTATTCTGTATCTATTTCAGAACTAAAGGCCTTTGCTTGACATCACAATTTAACATAGATAAAATTTTAAAGCACCTAAATACAAAATGTATTTGCTCATGGTGCCGTTGAGGGAGGGGTGGCGTAAGTAAGTCTAAATCAAAACTACTTGATTTAAAAATCGTTAAATACAATAGTAAGAAGCTAAAGAGATTAATACTATCTATTATATATACTATGTTAACCTTCAGGTATAAATCATACCTTTTGACTTCTTGTCCTTTTTGTTTAGGAGATTCACCTCCATTCAGGATCTGTTCTAAATTCTTTGTTTCTACTGATCCATTTGGTTCTGAATTAGATAGTCCAAGTAATGACCTTACCCGCTGAGACCGTACATCTAATATTGTATCTGTGTATCCTACTTCCTGAAGATACCTATAAGAGAAAATTTTAAATATTAAATTCCACATTCTATTAACACGTGCCCAACTCAAAATTCTATAAAGGATTTTTAGGAAAACCCATAACACTACAAAGTATACTCTCTTCCTTTGTCTCGTTATCTTTCCCTTGTACCAACTGATTTCAGTTCTAACAAAATGATGTCAATAACAAACTAAAATTTAAGTTGGCATACAGCATGGCTAATGCCTTAAAAAGCTTTCCGGAATTGATGAGAGTAATATAAGTGGCCAATGAGTGACAGCAAATGAGTAGAACTGAATGCTAGAACAGTAATGAAAGTTTAAATCCGTGGTTCTTACCCAGTGGCTGATGGACAGGCTAATTCTCCCTCAAGGATCTAATATCCCACCACATTCATCTAGTCCTCTGGTTTTCAAACTTTATCTATATCTAAACCAGGGTACTTATCCTGGGATCTAGGATTAAACTAGAAAGAAGAAAGGGGCCAGATAACAATATATTAATAATGAGTTGTCAATGGCTCTGTGTGACAAAGTATATAAAGGATGCTAGAAAGGAGTCATAGATAACACTAGTTATCTACAAAGTAATTTTAGGTGCAAGCTAAAGAGTGAGAGACTGGTTAGGACACTAACAGAGCAAAAAGGAAAAACAGAATGAACATGAGAAAATAAACAAGACATAAAATCTTCATGAACAATAAATGAAAAGAAGACGTAAACAATTTCTACCAATTTTCAAGTTTCTGGCTCAGAGGGCTGGGTGACTGTTCAAGAGTGAGAATCCAGTTTACAGGCCACCTATCAGATAGTCGTGTGGTGTCCACATTAAAAGTAAAATGACAATATTTATAAGGCACATATATAGAAAAGGTCAAAAGCTCAGAAGAGACTGAACTGGGTAAAGAGATCGGAGTCATCAGTCTTGAAGCCATGGATGTAAATGAAGTCACACAGAGATCAAGCCTAAGAACAAGCCCAGTGACACAGATATCTAAAAAGCTAGAATAAGAGAAGCCTAAAGGAAAATGAAGACATTTAATAAATTAGGAGGAAAAAAAAATCTCAGCAAAGAGTGGAGTCATGGAAGAATAAAAGTTGCAAAAATGAACAATGTCAAATGTTTCAAAGACATAAAATATGAACAAAATAAGGTCTCCTGTTTGTGACAGCAGCTTCAGCAGACCATCAAAATGGCAAATGGACGAGACAGCTAAGAAATAAACAAGGACGACCATGCAGATAAATTACCCTTAACAAGTTTGACTAACAAGTCAGAGAAAGAAAGGTGAGAAGAGGTAGAATATGTAATGGAATTACAGAAGTATGAGAGAAATACTGTGCAACCCGCTTCTAATTCTTCTCAGAAACTCTTCTAAGCTAGGGGGAAATCCTGCTATATGGAAAATAGTAGTTTTCAGTAGAAAAGAGTAAGTGCGTTACAGAGAAGAGCACAGACTCAATAGGAATGTATCCTGTGTGTTTCCAGTCTCTGCAGGTCCCCCAGGCTGCCTCAGCTCCTGACTTCCTCACATGTGGCTTTTCACATTTCCTTTAATTCTATCCCACTATCCTTTCATTAAAGATCTATTCTTCTGTTCAACTTCTAGTCACTTTTATATTATAAGAGTCTGGATTAACACCTTTTCAACAGAACCTAAGAAAAATGAGGCCACAAGTAAGAGGTTAAATATATTCACAGGTTTAAATATATTCACAGAAAGAAAAGCAAAAAGTTAAGGACGTTGTCATCCATCATACTTCACAGTTTCAGTGAAGTGGAGGCTGAGGTGCTGTAATGAGAACACAGGAGATTGGGTTTAGATGTGGTCAAAGTCAGAATATCCACTGAGGTAAATGGGAACAAGAGATGACCAGGGTTATGGAAAATGGTTCTCTGCAATATTTGAATAGGAAATTGTAAAAAATTAATAGCATCCATATTTTTCTCCAAGAGTTAACTAGAAATAGAGGCAGACACAAAGACTGAGCCAAGACTGGGGTTCTGCAGTCAATGATTGGTGTGATGGGACAGCACTGTGGCACAGCAGATGAAGCTGGTGCCTTTAAAAAAAAAAAAAAAAAAAGATTGGTGAGGGCAAAAAAAGGGGTGAGGACCATGAGTTCTGAGTGGCACTAAGAAAATAGAACAAACAAAAGAAACCACACATAAAGTGGCTAGAGGAAAATTAAGTAGCTAAGGATCTAAAAGATCAGGGTAAAATCAGAGGGCAAATAAAATAAGAATTGGAATGAGAGTGATGAAAAACATGATGACTGTTCACACCAAGGAATATTCCAGAGGTACACTAATTCTGTTGGTAAGAAGATCAAAGGTCTGACCACACTTCATAGGGTTACTGAAGTGAAAGTAAAGACGTACAAAGCTGGGAAGGTTGAATAATTATAAAGCACAGAGTATCAGCAGGATCAAAGTACAAAGGTTTTCAAACTATACGTAAGAAAGGAACAGATAAAAGACAGTAACCAACATTTGCCTTCAAAGTACCTCCAATACTGCAAAGAATTCAATCAAAAAGGTTCCTCAAATATACAACAAGCAGAGGATTTGGCAAGCCATTTCTAGAAACTTTCAGATAAATACAGATAAATTCCTCCTAAACCAGTCACATTCCCACAAGAGGAACCAACTTGTAAATTTTTCAGGACAAGGGACAGAAAAGTCTAGAAAAATTAACCTATACTGTTTTTTTTTCTGGTTTTCATCCAGTCTGTTAGACAGTCTATCCTGCAAATAAGAAAACAAGATTTTTTTTGAAACCCAGAGGAAAGAAGCTTTAAAATGAACCAAAGTTCCACATAGCAAAGAAGTAGCACTACAAAAAATATACATATTGTCCCACTACCATTAAATAACATTTTATTTGCTGACTTTATATACCCACTTGTCTACCTAAATCCTTCAACAAATTTGAAAATGAACCATTTACTTACTGTCTTAACAGCTGTCTGCCTTGCTTCCACGTTAACTGGCTATTCTGAGGTGCTGTGGGAGCTTCTGTGTCTTTGGTTTCTTCTAAAAAATGTTTTTAAAAAAAGTTCATTATTTCAACTCTTGAAAATACTGTCAAAGTTTCTTAGGAATAAATTCCCACATTAATAGAAACAATGTTGCTAAATGTTTCACAAAAGACAGAAAAAACAATGAATTCATATTTAGTATTTACTGTGGGTCACTCATTTTTTTAAAACATTTATTTATTTTATTTGAAAGTCAGTTAGAGGCCGGCGCCGCGGCTCACTAGGCTAATCCTCCGCCTTGCGGCGCCGGCACACAGGGTTCTAGTCCCAGTCAGGGTGCTGGATTCTGTCTCGGTTGCCCCTCTTCCAGGCCAGCTCTCTGCTGTGGCCAGGGAGTGCAGTGGAGGATGGCCCAAATGCTTGGGCCCTGCACCCCATGGGAGACCAGGAGAAGCACCTGGTTCCTGCCATCAGATCAGTGCAGTGCGCCGGTCGCAGTGCACCGGCCGCGGCGGCCATTGGAGGGTGAACCAACGGCAAAGGAAGACCTTTCTCTCTGTCTCTCTCTCTCACTCTGCCTGTCAAAAAATAAAATAAAATAAAGAAAGAGGAAGAGAAAGAGACTAACAGATCTTCCATCTACTGGTTCACTCCCCCAGATGGCCACTATGACCGGAGCTGAGACATCTGAAGCCAGGAGCTTCTTTCGGGTCTCCCACGAAGGTGCAGCGGCCCAAACATTTGGGCCATCCTTGGCTGCTTTCCCAGGCCATCACTTGGAAGCCTGATCAGAAGCAGAGCAGCTGGACTCCCTCTACCATGTCCCAGCAATGGCCCCAGGTCACCGATTTTGTGTTTCTTCCAATAATGGTATCATGTACTTCCTGCCCCATTTAAAATTGGGAAAAACCAAATGTACTTTATATTTTCAGGGATTCAAAAGTCAATGACAATAAGAAAAAATGCTGTTAAAATTAAATTTTTTTAACTATCACAACTCTACTGAATTAAATGCCTCTGAAATTAAAAAGCAGTATTACATCATCTATTCAAAATCCACACTAAGATATTAGGTAGATATAAAAACACTGAATTAATTAACTTTGAATCTGTATGAGTGGATTTTAAATTAACATCATTTTCAGAACTAAAAGTTAAACTTGAAAGTAGTTTTTACAAAAAGTATGTCACATTTAATTGGCAGTAAACAAAGCATATGCACATACAAAATTAAAGTTTAATAAACAGTAATGATTTTAGGTGAGTTAATCTATCAGCAAGTATCCCAAGAGTGAAATTTAAAATGATTTCTTGGCACATTATAAGCACTATTTTTCATAAGTTTCCATTATTAAGATAAAAACAAGGGACAGGCATATAACTTAAGTAGTTAAATACCCACATCCCACATAAGAGTGTTGGGTTCCACTCCCAGCTCCACAAGCTTCCGCTAGGAAGCAGCGGTGATGACTCAAGCAGTTGGGTCCCGGCCATCCATGTGGAAACCTGGATAAAAATGTCTGCTTCTGGCTTTGGCCAGGGTCATTGCAGGCACTAGGGAGTGAACTGGAGGTAGGAGCTCCCCCTTTCTCTCTGCCTCTCAAGTAAAAATAAATAGACTAAAATAAACACAGTGAAAACTTAGAGGAGCTTGGTAGATTAACCCCTACACCGCATGCTGAAAACTCACAGAATAACTCAGAGTTATTAGATTTCTAGACTCCTCAGAGTTGCCTGGTAATAACTGGTAGTAATTCAAATATCCCCTGCAAGCATTGCTTCTCTGATTCTAATAACTCCATTATTAATATTTTCTTATTCTTTCCCTAAACATAAGCAATTCTGACTTCTAGAAATAATTATTTCACTCTAACTAGTTTTTACTTCTTTTTTTTTAATAAGATGTATTTTTTGACAGAGTTAGAGGGAAAGACAGAGAGCGAGTGAGCTTCCATCCACTGGTTCACTCCCCAAATGACCATAAAAGCTGGGGCTGGTCCAAAGCCAGGAGTAAGAGGTTGCTTCTGGGTCACCCATGTGGATGCAGGGGCCCTTAGGCCTTCCTCCACTGCTTTTCCCAAGCATAACAGCAGGGAGCTAGATTGGAAATGGAGCAGTTGGGACTCAAACCAGCATCCATATGGGATGCCAGCATCACAGGTGGTGGCTTTACCTGCTATGCATATCTCTGGCCCATCATTTTTCAATTCATAATTACTTATAACATTTTATGTTTAATTACAAATAACACATAACGAGGAGGGAAACACATTTTATAAAAATAAAATTGCGGGGGCCAACATAGTAGTGTAGCAGGGTAAACTGCTACCTGTGATGTTAGCATCGCTTTTGGGTGTCGGATCACATCCTGGCTGCTCTGGTTCCAATCCAGCTCCCAGGTAATGCCTTGGGGAAAGCGGTGGACAACGGTCTTAAATTTTTGGACCCCTGCCCCTTCACAGAGGAAGCTCCTTGCTTCAGGCCTGCTGTTGTGACCATTTAAGGAGTGAACCAGCAGATGGAAGATCTCTTTCTCCATTTCTCCCTATCTCTAACTCTGTCCTTCAAATAAATAAATAATCTATCTTTAAAAAAAAAATACAATTGCCTGAAATCCTATCACCAACAGTCAACAAATGTTAGTACTTGAGAGTTTATCATTCCATATTTTCTACCTGAGAAAAAATAAAATACAAATAAATGACTAGCACAACCCTCCCCTTTAAGAAAGTAAGCTTGGGGCTGGTGCTATGGCATAGCAGGTTAAGCCCCCGTGGGTTAAGTGGCCTTCTGAAAATGGGTCCTGGTTCCAGTCTTAGCTGTTCTACTTTGGATCCAGCTCCCTGCTAATACGCATGGGAAAGCAGCAGAAGATGGCCCAAACACTTGGGCCTCTCCACCCACATGCGAGACCCAGACAGAGTCCCAGGCTTCTGGCTTTGGCCTGGTCCTAATGCAGCCATTTGGGGAATGAACTAGCAGATGAAGATCTTTTTCTGAACCTCCTTCTCTCTATGTAACTCTGCTTTTCATCAAATAAAAATAAATAAATAAAATAAAATAAATCTTTACAAGTAAAAAAAAATTTTAAGTGGGTTATGTGTATATCACACTAAAAGCTATTTTTGACAATGTCATCTTAAATATTCTCTCTATGGCAATATACATTATGTAGAAATGATTACATAATATTGTATAGAAAGTATGTAATTATTTAACCTATTTCTAATGATGAAATTAGCTTCCTTTTAAAAAGCTATTACAGGGGCCGGCACTGTGGTGTAGTGAGTAAAGCCACCAACTGCAGTGCTGGCATCCCACATGGGCACCAGTTCAAGACACAGCTGCTCCATTTCCTATCCAGCTCTCTGCTATGGCCCGGGAAAGCAGTAGAAGATGGTCCAAGTTCTTGGGCCCCTGCACATGCATGGAAGACCTGGAAGAAACTCCTGGCTCCTTACTTTGGATAGTGAGGAGCCAGGACTCCGGCCATTGTTGGGGAGTCAACCAGCGGATGGAAGCCCTCTCCCCTGCCTCTCCTCCTCTCTCTGTGTAACTTTGACTTTCAAATAAATAAATAAACCTTTAAAAAATAAACAAAAGCTATTACAGGGGCCAGCACTGTGGCACAGCAGATAAAGCCACCACCTGCAGTACAGGCATATCCCATATGGGCGCCGGTTCGAGTCCCGGCTGCTCCACTTCCAATCCAGCTCTCTGCTATGGCCTGGGAAAGCAGAAGATGGTCCAAGTTCTTGGGCCCCTGCACCCCCAAGGGAGACCCAGAAGAAGCTACTGGCTCCTGTCTTTGGATCAGCGCAGCTCTGGCTGTTGCAGCCATTTGGGGAGTGACCCAGCGGATGAAGATGTCTCTCTCTCTCTCTGTGCGTTAACTCTGACTTTCAAATAAATAAATAAATCTTTAAAAAAAAAAAAAAAGAATATTCTTGAAGTACATTTTAAGTACACAGCTTAATCAATTTTTGAAAACATTCATTCAACCAATACCTAGATGAAGATATAAAACACTATCCAAAAAGCTTTTTGTGCTCTATTCCAGTCACTAGCCACTCCAAAATGAGTATCAACACTTTTCCTGATTTCTAAATTAGATAAACTTTTGCAATTGATATAATTTCTAGCAATTTTCAATTTTATGTGATTCATCCAAGTTGTCAGGTTTAGTAGTAATTTGGCTATTTTCTCTGTTAAATAGCATTCTGTTATGCTACTCTATCACAATATATTTAATCATTTTAATATTGAAGTATGTTCCAGTTGTTTCTTGATTTTTCACTATAAACAATGAGTCTACAAACTTTTTTTTTTTTTTTTTTTTGACAGGCAGAGTGGACAGTGAGAGAGAGAGACAGAGATAAAGGTCTTCCTTTGCTGTTGGTTCACCTTCCAATGGCCACTGTGGCCAGTGTACCGTGCCGATCCGAAGCCAGGAGCCAGGTGCTTCCTCCTGGTCTCCCATGCGGGTGCAGGGCCCAAGCACTTGGGCTATCCTCCACTGCCTTCCCAGGCCACAGAGAGAGCTGGACAGGAAGAGGAGCAACCGGGACAGAATCCGGCGCCCCAACCGGGACTAGAACCCGGGGTGTTGGTGCCGCAGGCGGAGGATTAGCCTAGTGAGCCACGGCGCCGGCCTACAAACATTCTTAACATCAAGTGTCACTGTGAACATATGTCCACATTTTGGGGCATGGAATTACAGAGTTACTGGATATAGATGCTACATCTCCCTAAGTAATTCTACCAAGCTACTTTCAGAGCAGTTTTATCAATTTCCAATCCTAATATCAGCTCTAGTTGTTCCACACCCTTATGAACACTTGCTATTGTTAAGAGTCTACTTGTGGGGCCGGCACTGTGGCACTGTGGCACAGTGGCACAGTGGGTTAAAGCCCTGGCCTGAAGCGCCGGCATCCCATATGGGCGCCAGTTCAGGTCCCGGCTACTCCTCTTCTGATCCAGCTCTCTGCCATGGCCTGGGAATCAGCAGAAGATGCCCCAAGTCCTTGGGCCCCTGCACCCACATGGGAGACCCAGAAGAAGCTCCTGGCTCCTGGCTTTGGATCGGCGCAGCTCCGGCCATTGCAGCCATCTGGGGAGTGAGCCAGCAGATGGAAGACCTCTCTGTCTCTACCTTTCTCTGTAACTCTTTCAAATAAATAATTTTTTTAAAAGAGTCTACTTGTATTCCATGATGGATTTGTATATTTCCTCCACAACTAATAAAATTGAACATCATTTCATGCTTACTGACCATTTAGATATTCTTTTGCCCATTTTTCTGCTGGATTGTCTTTTCTAAATGTAGAGGTAAGGGGGCTCTAAACTGAATTAAAAGATAAATTTACTTGAATGCAAAAAACTTTTGAAATGCATGCCAATTTTTTAATAATATGCAATTTCCAAGGACTCTGTGAAGATCCCTCATATGCGTGGATTTCAAAAGATTTTCTGCACCAAAATCAACTTATCCCTTCATTCTATTTTCCATAAACTTTCTGAAGTAGCCTGGTATAAATATGTGTTACTAAGAGAAGGGTATAAACATTTATTTATCTAGTATTCTGTCAAATCAGTATTTTGTTCATTTTCCTTTTTACTTGAATTATTTTGAGGGCAAATAAATGAAATACTGTTTCACTTAATATTTATTTCCATATATAATTTATTTGTAAAATAAGTTTATCAAATGTGGTCTGCATGGCACATTTTTGGCCATCTTTGTTTTGTTTTCCATTAAATATCTTGAATATCTTTTGAACAGCAGTAAAACTATTTTATTTTATTGTTATTTTGTCTTCTTAATATCTGAGGATTTACTCCTCTAGCCAAGGAAGTTTTAATACCTAGCTTTATAGCAATAAAAAATAAACTTGTCTGACTTCAGTTGTAGGCAGGAGAGACTTATTTGTAAATGATGTTGCTTTATACCAATTTGCAGTTGAGACCAGACAGCCAATGCCTTCTTTGGTTTAGTCTCTATTCCAAGAATAATGATCAAGCACAGGGAGTACAGCCCATTAGTTCTGGAAAACAAATATTTTCTGAATATTCTAGCCATGCTAGAAAGATAATGACCCTAAGAAAATCTCTAAGTTCATCAGGTTTTTCTGGTGAAGCCAGTGTACTCCTTCTAACAGCAGTGGGACTACTGTAGTAAATGTGACTCAAAATACGTACACCTTCCATCTTTCCATGAATTATTCTTGCTTTCCCAAGGAGGAGATCATAATATTGTTTCCTAGCAAGAGAACAAGCCTTCATAACCACTGAAAAGGATCAAAGAAAATTCACTCCTACTTGGTCTCTTGATTTCATATATATGACAACAACTAAAAGAAAATGAATGATTCTACTGTTAAAAAATTGAAGGTGAGAAAGACCAAAAACCAAATCAAATGCATGGTATGGGTTTCTCTGAAGTACCTAACTACTTAATACTGAACTAAAAACCAATCAAATTTTTAAAATTTACTAAAACATCTCATTTAAAAATTCATATGTAAGTTTTTATTTTCCCTACCATACATACTTTGACTTTGCTAGGATAGAAACACTATAGAAGAAAAAATGATACAAAGAACACATTTTTTTCTTGCCCCCAGTAGCCACAAGCATAGGCCTCAATTTAGATGCGTTATCAAAAATGTATGTACAAATGATTCTAGAAACTACTGAGAAATAAGAAATTGCTAAATCTTATTAATATAAATAGAAATATTCCTTACTTAGACTCCTCAAATGGTAATCACATGAAGTCCTCAAATTAACATTAAGCTATTCCAAAGATCTTTCCTATAGCCAGTCCTCTCTTCACTGCACAATTATTCATTAGAAACCATTCTCACACTGTTTAGGAAAGAGCAAAGCCAACTGCAGATAATATTTCCCTTTTTTATTTTTTTTATTTGGATGCCTTTATGGTTTCCAAATGCAGTCAAGTTCTCAGGATCTTTAAAGACTAAAATGAATTAATTAGAATGTATCCAATTCAAAAGAACTTTTTAATAATATAAAAGTAAGCTCCTGGCAGGTGTTTGGAATAGTAGTTCAGCCTCTAGCAGGGATACTGCATCCCAAACTGGAGTGCCTGGATTCACTTGCCATTCCAGCAGTTGACAGCTAAGTATTTGGGTCCTGCCACCCACACAGAAGACTCAGATTGAGTTCTTCATTCCTAATTATGGTTTGGTAGACCACTGGCTATTGCAGGCATCTGGAGCCAGTGGATGGGAAATCTCTTTCTCTCTTACTCTGTCAAATAAAAAACTAAAACAAAAAACTTATACTGGATTGGACAGGATTGCTTACAGGTAGAAAATCAGTTACTTTAATAACTTTCAACTCTAAAACATAAAAAGCATCCACAATTTTACAAAGGTTTCACAGCAGGAAAAACAGAAAAGTAACTTCAGGATTGAGATGTACCTAAAATTCTGTATCTCCTCCAAATTCTAATTAGTTTACATAGTTACTCAACTGTCCGATCATTGCTATCAATGTGAAATGGAGGTGAAAAAAATACGTATTACACAAAAATAAGTTTTTTAAAAAAAAGTAGCAGCAGAATCAAGTTTACCTGATTCAAAGGTTGGCATTTTCAAATCGCCTTGGTTCAGTTCTGTGCCATATTTCAATTTGTGATATTTTGCCCTGAAAATTTAATAACAGATTGGCAAAATAATAATCTTTAAATTTCTACAGTTAAGTGACTGTAATATATTACTCCAATAACATAACATGAATGTCTATTCCTTAAGCTTTGTTTGCAAATACTGACAAATGTACTGCTATACAAGAAATTAAAGATAAATTACATAAGTAACAAACACATCCAAGTGAAGAAAAGATAAATTTTTCCTTTTAAAACAAGTTCCAAAATTAGATTCTATGACAAAATATTATTTCAATGTAACTATTTTAATATTTTTCTATTCCCATATGAATCAAATACATTTCATGGTGGTACAAATGAGAACAATATAATTTTCCACTATTGTATTCAAATAAGAAAATGAAACACAAGTACCTTTCCTGCTTTAATGCATATTCTAACATCTTTATTCTTCTTACTAAATCCTTCTTCAAGTTCTCTTGACCTTTTCTTTCTCCTTGTAAAAATGCTATCCGGGCCTAAAAATAAAAAGGATACATTTATTTTCATTTTTCCTTAACCATATATAGGAAATAGATGAAAAGGAAAATAGTAAATGCAAACTTCTATACTTTTATTTATGACAGTTATATTTAAAATTCACTGACGTGTACCAACCAACTTTATCTGTCAGATAACATAATCACTTAAAAAATAAAAATAACTATGAATTAGCTATTTGCATATTATCCTTGGAGTACCTAATATTAATATTTAACTTTTATATAACCTTCCAAATAAATTTTATATATAAAAATTACAACTTTCTGTAACATAAGTCACAATGAATTGAAAAATTATATTATATTCACAAGGAAAGATGTGTATTTCAGAAAATCAAACATTGGCTGCTTCAACAAACAGTAGTATTACCCCAAAAAGTATTTCTTTACAGAAATACTTGAAAGTTTACAAACACATTCTATCACCCTATTCCAAATTCTGTTTCACTTCTTGAAACAATACGTAATATTGCAAACAGTTTAAGTTATAATACTATACATTTCGGCCGGCGCCGCGGCTCACTAGGCTAATCCTCCACCTAGCGGCACCGGCACATCGGGTTCTAGTCCCGGTCGGGCGCCGGATTCTGTCCCGGTTGCCCCTCTTCCAGGCCAGCTCTCTGCTGTGGCCAGGGAGTGCAGTGGAGGATGGCCTAAGTGCTTGGGCCCTGCACCCCATGGGAGACCAGGATAAGTACCTGGCTCCTGCCATCGGATCAGCGCAGTGCGCTGGCTGCAGTGCGCTGGCCGCGGCGGCCATTGGAGGGTGAACCAACGGCAAAGGAAGACATTTCTCTCTGTCTCTCTCACTGTCCACTCTGCCTGTCAAAAAAAAAAAAAAAAACCACAATACTATACATTTCATGACCTCATTACTTTTTGTTGTCATATTTTCGTGAAAGATTTCTTTTTCTTTCTAACTGCCCTGCTATTTCTTATTTTTTTTTTTAAATTTAATTTTATTTATTTGAAAGGCGGAGTTAAGAGGTAGAGACAGAGAAAGAGAGGTCTTCCATCTGCTGGTTCATTCCCAAATGGCCGCAATGACAAGAGCTGGGCCACGCCGAAGCAAGGAGCCAGAAGCTTCTTCCAGGTCTCCCACAGGGGTACAGGCACCCAACAACTTGGGACATCCTCTACTGCCTTCCCAGGTACAGCAGCAGGAAGCTGGATCGGAAGTGGAACAGCCAGGACATGGATTGCCGGCACTTTAACTCTGCATTACAGCGCTGGTCCCTACTTATTTCTTAAGAAAGGCAATGCTCAGCCTTTTTCTGACCCTTCCCATTCCTTTAGCAACCCCATACTAAAGAATGACACTTGAGGCCAGCACTGTAGCATAGTGGGTAAAGTCACCATCTGTGGCTCCAGCATCCCATTTGGGCACTGTTCGAGTCCAGGTTGATCCATTTCCAATCCAGCTTCCTGTTAATGGGCCTGGAAAAGTAGTGGAAGATGGCCCAAATACTTTGGCCCCTGCACCTATGTGGAACACCTAGAAGCTCCTGGCGTTAGATGGGCCCTGCTCTAGCCACTGCAGCCATTTGCGGAGTGAACCAGCAGATGGAAGATCTCTCTCTCTGTCTCCCACAGATCTCTATCCTTCAAATAAATAAATAAACCTTAAAAAAAAACTACAAAATAACACTTAAAAGATAATGACTTATTGATCTGGGGACATTTACAATTCTGTATAAATTCACAATGGAACTATCTCTCACCATAGTAAAATGCTCTTGCTAAGATGTCCTAAAAATGTATGCATTCAGTAGATTATCATAAATAGTTCTTATTTAATTTTTTAAATTTCAAATAACATGGGACCAAAGCTAATGATTGTAGCTGAATATTTAACATATTAACTTAGAAAGTGTTGGTTTTCAACAGAAATATACTGGTCAAGGCATCTAACAGAAATATATTAACTAAAGTTAATATTCAGAAATATACTAGATAAGGCATATAAAAGAAATATACTAACTAAAGTAAACCAATTAATAAAAACACGTAAGTAACAAATGCCCACTTTCATCAAAAAATATTATCCTAAAAATATTTCATATGGAATAATCCACAACTCTAAAACAACCAAGAAGTTAGAAACAGCTATATAACACTTAAAACTCTTAAGTTTCCAAATAAAAACAAAAGTCTAGGGGCAGCATTTTGAAGGGATAAAGCTGAGTCCTGTGATACTAAGATTCCTGGGCATTCTATACAGGCACTGAGTAGTGTCCAGGCTTGCTGTGCTTCAATCCAGATCCCTGCTAATGGCCTGGGAAAAGCAGTGGAAGAGGGGCCAAGTGCTTGGGCCCCTGTCATGCACATGGGAGACCGACATGAAGCTCCTGGCTTCCATATGGCCCAAGCCTCAGGTGTGGCAGCTATTTGGGAAGTAAACCAAGGGAAGATCTCTGTCTCTCCCTCTGTAACTCTTGCCTTTCAAATCAATAAATAAATTCTTAAATGGTTTAGCCAAAAATACCTGGGGAGAGGTAAACAGGTAACAGAGAAGACACTAGTGCTAGAATTGACCTTTGACCTAGTATCACTAAGCATTAGAATACTCTGAAAAGGTAAATGTTATAGCTGGTAGTTATAATAGGAACCAATTAAACAATAGATTTAGCATCTGGCAAAGGATCATTGACAATGGACTTCCAGCTATTGTTGTAAGTTATAATGCACCATTAATAGTATCATCTCTTCAAATAAACATTTTAAAAAGTAAATTTATGAGACTGGGGTTACTGGTGTTATGGCACAACAGGCTAAGACTGTGCCTGAGGCGCTGGCATCTCATAAGGGTCCTGGTTCATGTTCTAGCTGTTCCTCATCTGATCCAGCTCTCTGTTTATGGCCTGGGAAAGCAGAGGAAGATGGCCCAAGTGCATGGGCCCCTATACCCGTACAGGAGATCCAGAGGAAGCTCCTGGCTCCTGATCAGTTCAGCTCTGGTAATTTGGGGAATGAACCAGCGGATGGAAGATTTTTTCCCTCCCTCTGTAACTCTACCTCTCAGATGAATAAATAAAATATTTTCTAAAAAAAGTAAATTTAGAAAAACATATTTACAATGGCATCAAAAAATCACTTAGTAGTAAAAAAGACACGCAAGATCTCCACAAAGAAAATTCAAAAATTTAACAAAAGCATTGAAGACAACTTAACAGACTAGCAAACACATACACTATAAAAACATCGATTTTTACCCAAATTGACCAAAAGGTTTAATAACTGCAATCAAGTTCCATATGTGTTAAAAATACATCAAACTTGGGGCCTTCACTGTGGCATAGTAGGTAAAACCATTGCCTGCAACGCCCAACACATGTGGGCGCCGGTATTTCTCGGCTGATCCACTTCCAACCTAGCTCCCTGCTAATGGTCTAGGAAAAGCAGAGAATGATGGCCCAGATGCTTGAGCCCCTAACACCATGTGGGAGACCCAAATGAAGCTACTGGATCCGCCAGCCATTATGGCCATCTGGGGAGTGAACCAGTGAATGGAAGAGCTCTTTGACTCTCCCTAACTCTGATTTCAAATAAAATAAAGAAATCTTTAAAAAAAGAGAGAGAGACTAAAATAAAAAATTAAAATCACTGAAAACAACCATGACAATAATAAAGAATGAGGTGGTAGTACTTGCTCTACCTGACATTAAGATGGATTCTAAAGCCACAGAAAGGAGGATGCCTATGGATGCAGGGATAAAAAAATTAACCACAGGTGAAAGTTTGGTGCAGTAATTAAGACACTGTCACTTAGGATGCCTGCATCCCCTATCAGATTGCTGGTTTGATTCCTGGCTTCTCCACTTCCCATCCAATTTCCTGTTGGTATGCATCCTGGGAAGCAGCAGGTGACTGGGTCCCTATCACCTATGGGAGATCCAGTTGGAGTTTCAGGCTCCTAGCTTCAGCCTGACCCAGCCCCAGCTGCTGCAGGCACTGGGGGAGTGAACCACTGCCTTTCACAAACACACCAACCAGAACAAAACAACAAAAACTTCTGTACAAGATAAAGGAGGGACTAGGTCCTATCTCAGACTTGTTCTTGGACAGTCTTAAGACTAAAAAGTGTATTTTGCATTTTAAAGTGTTATAAAACAAAGAAGAATGGGCAACATAGACCCTATGTGGTCCTCACAACCTAATATATTTACTGTAAAAGCTTGCCAATCTCCTAAACATTTATCAAACAAAATAGGCAATAAATCAAACTACAAGAGACAAAGAACACTACATATTAATAAAAGATTCAACTATACCATGATTACAACTATACACACCTAATAAAAGACAAAAAAAAAGAAGAAAAAACAGTGAAGGGAGAAACAGACTACAGTATTAGGAGAATTCAATAACTCAATTTGAATAATGAAGAGGACAACCAGATAGAAGCAAGGAAACAGAGGACTGAACACAAGAATAAATAATCCATATTATTGATTGCAATTAATAATCAATAGAGAAATCAACCAGCTCTAATAAACATATGTAGAACACTTTACCAAACAACAAAATACAGATTCTTCCCAGGTAAATGTGGACATTCTTCTGGATAGACCACATTATGTTAAGCTACAACTGACAACTGATGTCAATAGCTTTCAAAAGATAGATATCAAAGTATCTTTTCTGACCATAACAAGATGAAATTAGAAATCAGTAACAGAGGACAGCGCTGCAGTGTAGTGGGTGAAGCTGCCATCCACGATGCCAGCACCGGATATGGGTGCCAGTTCATGTCCTATCTGCTCCACTTCTAATCTGGCTTCCCTGGTAGCTAATGGCTTAGGAAAGCAGAGGAAGATGGCCCAAGTCCTTGAACTCCTACTACCCACGTGGGAGACCCAGATGAACAAAGAGCTCTCGCTCTTGCTCTTGAGCTCCCTCTCTCTCTCTTTCTCTAATTCTGCCTTTCAAACAAATTCTTTTTTAAAAAATCACTAACAAATTGTGGAAGTTAAACA